GGACTTCGGGACTTGAGAAGGGTGGAGTACTTTTAACACATACAGAGATTTAGGTACCCCGAGGCAGCAAATCACCTGAATGTGTGCTGAACTTTAAGGACCTAAGTAATCAAACTGGTTTCATGGGAAAGAGAACCAAAACAGTGTGTCAAAAAAAAAAAAAAAAAGTTATGTTTGGTATTCTGAACATCTAGACTGCATGGAGACAAATTTTTCTAAAACAAACTCTGCCAAGTGGGTGGACAGGAGTGTGCAGGGCTGTAAAGCCAAGGCAGGTAACCTGATTTACAAACATCCTCTGTCAGCACATGCACAGGACTGCAAGGGCAGGGAAGAGGGGGTGAACAGAGGATTTCAGAACTGATTCTGTATTACCACGCTGAGAATACAGTTTATTTGTCATTCTTTTCCCCAGACATTCTGCTCACAGCACAGCGTGGTTTGTACCTGGCCCTCCCATTCCCGTGAGTTCATGAGCTGAGTGCTTTGGCTCTGCTCAGCTTTGTCCCCTGCATGGAAAGGGACTGCCAGGGAGGTTTGGATCCCCATCCCTGCAGGTGTCCCAGCAATTCCTGGAGGTGCACTCAGACCTCTGGGCTGGGGACAAGATAAATAAACATAAATATTTATTAGCACCAGATATTGTGAATTTTACTGGATTTGGGGTTTTAGTTTTCTTTAGAGAGACACTTACACAAATGTTTAGTCACGTCTGGATTTTGCCTAAACCAAGTATGGAAAAGAAGGCCCATGATGAGCTCCACCTGTTCTCATTCTGACTTGAGACTTCCCTTTCTGCACCAAGAAACTGAGTCAGAGAAGTGAATCTCGGGCCTGTGAGATGTGACAATCAGACACGTCAATAAAGAAGTTTAAAAGGAGAGTGATGCTGGCAGAGAGTGGCTGGGAAGTCCAGCACAAAATCACTTATAACAGGCATTAACAAAGAAGCTTTCCAATGAAGCAGCCAACACCAACAGCAACCAGAACGTTGCAAAGAACACAGCCCTTAAATGCAATGAACTCCAAGTGCACGGAGCAGAAGCTATGCTAACAGAAGAGACAGCATGCAATAGGCTCCAGGAGTGTGTAATTGCTGCTCTTTCTGTGCCTCCGAGCTCTTTCCTGTCCTGCTGGGGCTGTGCAGTGCCAGGAGCTTTTCTAGGTCAGTGGTGAATGTGAGCTGGAGTCAAACACGTGAGCCCAGCGCTCAGCACAGCCCGGCAGCAGAGGCAGGGCAAGGGCAGGCAGAGGAGCCCTCTGAGCTGAGCTCTCAGCACAGAAAAGCACCAAGAAAGTCTCAGCTCTGAGCAGGAACTTCTTGGAATCTCACAGATTTCTGTCCTTGCATCACCTTCCCCGACTCCAGACTGCAAACCCTGCACGGAGCCCCATGGCCTTCAACAGAAAAAAATTGAACATTAATGTCATACTCATCTCTTTGCTGTTGTTTCAGCCCCTCTCTGCCAGTTCAAGCACCTCAGCCAGGTCCTTCCCTCCCTGCCAGCTGTGGAAAGGCAAATCAGCCTCGCTGAGCTCAGCCCAGAGCTGCTCATCTGCAATTGTCAAATTCCCTCCTCAAAGCTCCCATCGACTTTTTGGGAAGCTTTGAACAGAAAGGGCAGGTTAAAAGAAATCTTTCCTTAGAGGAATACGTGAGGCAATACATTAAGGTAAAGCAAATGCACTTACTGACTGTTCAGCTGTTTTGTTTTAAACAATGCAACATTTAAGTTCAAATCTGACATTTCAAGCAAGCCAGATTTTACCTTAGCTCATGCAAGCAAATATGCTACTCACACAACAGCAACAGCCTGCAAATCCTGTGAGTGAGGGGCAAAGCAAGGAATAACAAACAGCAAGAAGAAAGTCCTCCAGGCAAGAGGAGAGGCTAATGGGCAGAGACAGTGCACATACCGAGCTCACTCTGCTCTCCACTGCAGCTGCACCAGCACGGTGAACTCCCTCCTGATTCACATCAGCAAGGCCACAAGACAATCAACTGTCTCTTTTAATTGTCGAGATGCAAGTGGAGGTGTTACTGTAAGCTGAGCACACTTGCCACAGTGGGCACTTCCAGCACACTGACTTGCCCCAGGCTTGGCTCAGCTCTCACACGTGGGAGGGCAGGTAATCCCCACCCTGCTGGCTTTGCAAACCCTCCCTTGCAGCAGGAGCATCCCTGTGGCCCAGCTCCCGCTGTGGGGACAGCCTCAGAGAGGTCCTACCTGTCACCCAGGTGTTGTGGGAAGATCAGGACTCGGTGGCTTAGCCAGGGATCTCCCCCTGTTCCAGCCTGGAGCTGCCTTGTCACCAGGCTGCCACAGCCTGGGACACAGCCAGCACCTGCCTGCCACCCTGGCCTGGAGAGCAAAGCCCTGCAGTGCCCGGGGCAGCTCACAGCCCCCAGGGCAGCCTGACCCCAGTGCCCACCACACCTGCCTGCCACAGCCTCCTGCTGTCCTGCTTTGCCCACGTTCCTCGGGGTTTATTTCCACCCCAGCACTCAGGCTTTCCAAAACTCCTTCCCTCATCTCCCCTCACTGTCCAGCCTGCTGAGCCACACACCCGAAGGCAGCAGAGGTGTGAATATGGAATTATGCTGCTATGGATGGTAAAGAAGAGGCAGAGCCCCTCAGCTTGGCCAGAAATCCATGGGAAGGGACAAGAGGTTCCTGGACCTCGGACTTGTCCTGCCCTCCCTACACCTTCCTCGAGAGCTTGGGGCAGAGATGAGAAAACAAGTGTTTGCTTTCGGCCTTTCTTTGCACCCAAGGATTGAGCAAAGAGCACCACGGTCAGGCAGCTCTGATGTTGGAAAGGTGCAGCTTTTGGGGTTCCCTGGTTCTGAACCCCTTTTCCTCCTCTCTTACCTCCCAAAGGCAAAATACATTTGCTGGATTATGTTGTCAGAATCAGGGTCTCAGCACTTCTCCATTTTATCAGGGCTGTTCTCAGAACTGTTTCTTTGCTCTTTAGGGGAAGTTATTTATCCCTTTTCTATGCAGCCAGCATCTTCAAGCACTGGCAATTTGACAACTTAATATTATTTTTTCCCTTTGTAGGATGATCACAGCAGAAAAAGGATTGCACATATTCCTGTAATTCTATTCTAGTGTGGAAATCAACATCCCTGGCACATCCCAACCCCTGCATCAAACCCCAGCTGTTCCTGAGGAATGGATCTCCAATTCCTCCATGGCTTCCTAGCTCCTCTTGCTCCAAGGAATGAACTAAAGCCTAACTCTAGCTCCTGGATCTCAGGTCCCTGGAGTGAAGCAGCATGCTGCTCCTGAACTCGCTCTCCAGCAGACAAAAAGCTTTTTGCCAGAAAAATGTTCAGCACCAAGTGTGAAAAAGCCATCCCAAAATTTATTCTCAAAAATGTCAACAGAAACGCATCAGTAGATACTCAAAACTACAGAGTTCTTAGAAATCATACATTCACAATGTAGAAACGTGACCATTGGGATGCCTTTTGCGTGGTCTATGTAACAATATCCATTTTACAGTGTAAACAGGTACTGGTATGTTCTTACCCACAAGTCCAGCAGGAAAGGCACAACTCGGCATACAGAGATCATAAGCAAGAATCAGGTGCAACAGCATCACACAAACTTTTGGTAAATCTGCATTTCTGGGGCCTTCCACAAGAGACTGGACTTGAAGCTTTCCTGCAGTCAACAGCCAGGTTTCTTTCCTTCCTTCAGTCCTTCCACACCAAATGCTCCCTTTGCAGCCTGGTTCAGATCCCATTCCACATCCAGTTCCAGCAGGCGTTCGAGGAATAGTGAAAGGTCAGTCCAGCAACTCCTCAGGTGCTTCCACTAATAATACAACAGGTTTTGGTTTCACATAGTGCATGGAAGCATCTGCTCAAATCTCAGTCATTACAGTGGTCATTATTAGAAAAAATAGACACTACAACTACAAAAGGAAAAAAATGAGGTAGATAACTTAGAATCCAGATGACTATCCCAGCAACCTTCATACAACACACATGGATCATTAATTACCATTTTGGTGGAATGCAGGCTCACAGACCACCAAAAAAGCCTTAATGACCAGAGTAGGAATGCCATCCAAAAACCCACAAAACATTTAACCTAAGCATGAATACTTCATATTTAAATACAGGTTTACATAGACTGATCTCCTAAATTACCCAAAAAAAAAAAAAAAAAAAAAAAAAAAGTCTCTTGCTAAGGAAACCAGTTCCCATGGCAAATTGCAACAGTCACCTGAGATTCCTTGCAGAGCTTTCAGACCTGACTTCCCAAGGCAAGCCTTCCCTTTCAAGAGGAGACAACAATAAAAAAAAAAGTATATACATACCCACCCATGCTTGTTTGGGGCTCTTGGTATTGAAATAAAACATCTAGGAAAAACTGCACATCTTTGGAAGCAGGAATTTTGGCACTATACTTGAAGGACTGTCCTAGTAGTAGTATTAAATAAGCAGCAGTCAACAACACAATTAATTACTTAATAGCAGTGACTAAAGAAAAACAGCAACTTCCTTTTCATAGAACTTCTGAGGCAAAAAAACCAAAGGAATTAAAAAAAAAAAAACCAACTTTGTAGTTTTCATAGCAATTATTAAGAAAAAGTACATTCAGAAACCACACAGAGCCAAAAATCCAAACAGAAAAATTCTAAGAGGGTGGCAGACATTCTAGGATATTTACCCGCATCAATAGTTTCCATTTCTCATCAGTAAATAGAAGCTTTTCCATCAACAGTAGGTTGTTTCCACTCTATTCAAAACCCCCATTATCACTCTAAACAAAGAGGTAAATAGTCTAACCTTTGGAATTTCAAGTTGTAGAAACTTCTGTAAGGCTTGTACACATTAAAGTCACACGTAAGAACTACTTTGCAAGACCCGCATCTTTCCAAATAGAAGGAAATCCTATTCTTTATTAATTACTATTTGCAAAGCAACGTCATGATTGTACTCTGGGCAACTCTTACAAAGACAACCATAAAATCATTTGCACGTTGATAGGAAAATAGGAGGCCGAAGTGGAATCTCTTAAAAATATATGTTTGCGTCTATATATATTTGTTCTTTGTGTAGGTCAACTCCTCTCGAGTCTTTAGCTAACGGCGATTTTGTTCTCCTCCAGGAAGAGAGGGAACTGGTGTTTTGGCACACTGTCTGCAGCAGCGCCGCCCGCCTTCTCCGCCTCCGAGGCGGCGCCAGCCTGGCCCGGGTCCGCCTTGGAGGCCGGGCCGGAGTTCACGGGCGAGCCCCCGGGCACAGGCACGGGCAGGGCCCCGCTCTGGATCACCGAGATCTCGTTGGTTTTCACGGCCAGCCCGTTGCTGAGCACGGCCGCGTACTGGTTCCACACGGCGGGGTCGATGCTCACCGAGGGCGCCACCATCTCCTTGGGGAACATCTCCGACACCTTCTTGGGGTCGTTGCCCAGCAGGGCCATGGGGTTATCGATGGACAGCCGCCTGCCCCGCCTGGCCGAGTTGTTCCACATGTGGGTTCCTACGTGGACCTTCCGGAGAGGGGGGGAAGCAAAGAGAATCGTTAATGCTGCAGCTCTTCCGTGGCGCACCCGAATTCTACTTTGCTTGCAGCCAAGTAGCCCAGAGAAGTCAGGCTTGCTCCGTTTGCATTCTGGTAAATATTAAGTTGGGCGATTCTTGTAAGAGCTCCCTTCCTGGCACGTGTAAGACACAGTCATTCACTGTCTGACATCACCGTGGCTCTCTGGAGTTGGCTGCTAGAGGGCTTAGAGGACAGTTTTACACTCGGAATAAGCGCCGTTGGCAAAGACACCCTCTCTCTGCCCAAAACAGAAACCACATTATCTGCTGCAAACAGACCATACTGAAAAAAAATACTGGGTAATGCAAAAAAAACCCCAAAAAACACTAAGTAATTTGGCAGAGAGGTTCATTTAAGCTGAAATCTTCCACACCACATTCTGCTGGTGCTTCCAGCAAGGCACTGCAGAGTATTTTCTCTCCCTCCCCATCAGCATTTATGCAAGAGGACTGAAGAGCTTGAAGAGGTTCCCACAGGGAGGGAAAAACCTCTGTGCAAGTGAGGGAGCTGAATCCCTCACAGGGCAAATGGATTCATCTGGCAAAGGGACAGACTCACAGCACTTCTTCAGCATGTGCTTAGCCACAATCCCCAAGCACTTTCTGCCATCTCAGGATTATCCTAGTTTATCCCTTCTCATCTCACAAAATTTCAAGCAGCGCAGTGTAATGCATTTACTCAGCAGGCAGCGTTTTGTAGCAGTCTATGGAATGCTTATGTCTTGACACATCCAAATCCAAATTAAAAAAGAAAGCAATCTGCTTAGTGAGTGCTAAGCCTCCCCTTCCATCCCAAAAGGAAAGTCAAGGACGGCAGCAAAGACCTGTGGGTGATCTCAGTAGCACACAAAAAACTGTGTGGAAAAAGTCAGGAAGGAGACAAGGGTCAAAAGTAAGTACTCGAGGAACTAAAAGAAAATCAGTGCTGTCTCAGAGGCAGGTCAAATATCAGAAACAGCCTTTCCATCTCTAGTCTTAGTCTCAGAGACCAAGGAGATGACAACAGACAGGACCCACCTTCAGGTTTCCTTTGGTGGTGAAGGCTCTCCCACAGATGGTGCAGGCAAAGGGCTTCTCCCCGGTGTGGGTGCGCTCGTGGATCTGCAGGGCGCTGGCAGAGGAGAAGTTCTTCCCACAGGTAGTGCAGATGTGCTGTTTGGCAGGACGGCAGAACTTGGGGCGTGGCACCAGCAGAGGGGCGACCCCAGGGGACAGAGCTGGAGGGCCAATGAAGTGGCCAGTGCTGAGGGGACGATCGCTGGGCAGCTCCATTTTTATCAGGGCTGGTGGGGCTCTGACAAAAGCAGCTGGAATACTGCTTCGACCTGGAAAGAAAGCAAAGGTGATGCTTATCCCAGCCTAATTCTGCTGCCAAGCTTAAGCCTGGCTGAGACTCCAGGCCCCACCTTTGAAGCTGTGTGTGCCTGAAGAGCACATCTGCAGAGGCCACCACACTTCCCAGGATACCCCAAAACTGATCAGTTCATTCCTGGGTTTGTTGGTGAGATTGAAATACAAAATCTTCCGGCCACATTTAGATCAACCCCAACACCTCAATGCTAAAGAGCCTGAAAACCCCACAAACTATTTTAGGGTCTCCATGTCACACTCCTGGGATAAGCAGTTTTCCCTTAAAACACAAATGTGTATTTTTAAAGAACTATAAAGACATGTTAAGTGGGCCCATGAAAGACAGAGAGGGCACAGTCTGCATTAATTTTAAGGAGATGACAGCAGTTAAGCCTTTGAATTTTGGGTCTTAATCAGGAAAACTTTACAGGGCCTTATCCAAACAGAGCAGGAAGAGGGGAAAGCTGAGCAAGTTTTGTTCTACTGCTGGTCCTTTTAGGATTGATTTCCTACTGCCCCACCCCAAATCCCTGGCAGCATTTTGCCTTGCTCACCATATTCTCCATTTGCAAAGTGTAGCCCAGGCTCTTCCTTAATGACCTTGCGACCAATATTGCCGTAGGTTAAATCCAACGCGCCGACAACCCCTTCCACTTCTGCAGGAGCATTCTCGGGAGCCTCCGACTTGCTGCCCGTGCCTGCATCCTCCTGGGTGTTGAAGGCAGGCGACTTGGACCTGACGCTCTCAGCCTGGCTGTTGGCCGGGGACGGCGCCTGCAGGGACGCGGCCTCGGAGGCGGCGGGGCTCCTGCCGTTCTGGTAGTCGGCGTCGCCCGCCACCGAGGACGAGTCGTTGGTCATGCCATCGCTCTCTGCCGAGCCGTTGTCGCTGGACTTGAGGCTGCTCTGCCGCTGCAAGCTCAGAGAGGAGGCGACCATCTTCATCTGGTTCTCCAGCGCTGCAACCCCTGAGAAGGCGGGCGACTCTGACTGCGCATCGTACGGAGTGGGAGGCTTGGAAGAGCTCCTGGGGCCATCCTGAGAGTCCACGTCGTCTTCCATGTCTATGCTTTCCACCGTCTCCTCCGGGCGCCCGACGTCTCCGTTCTTCTCGGGCGCGGCAGCCTCGGCCTCGGCGCTGTCGCAGGGGGGTTCTGGCATCGGCGTGTTGGGGATCTGCCCGCCCATGTGCATGCGGATGTGCTGCTGCAGCACCACGGCATTGGTGAACTTCTTCTGGCAAATGGGGCACGAATGCTGCATCTTCAAGGGGGTATTGGCCCGGTGGACGCCGTAGTGGGTTTTAAGGTTCCCTTTAGTGGAGAAGGCACGGCCGCAGATCTTGCACTTGAAGGGCCTCTCCCCAGTGTGGGTGCGGTAATGCATTTTCAGCGAGCTCTGGCAGCTCAACACTCTGTGGCAGATCAGGCACTCGTTGGGGTCAGCAGTGGATTTGTCGATATTTTCAACCAGCTGCTGGAGCTTTGATGTCTCTGAGCCTTGCTCGTTTGACCCACCTACGTGGAAGATGCTCACACTGCAGGCAGCTTGTGGTGAGCTCAAGCTCTGCTCCGTTCCCGACTCGTGACCGACCGCCCCCGACGAGGAGGAGCCACCCTCGCTTTCGGGAGAGGGCCTTGACTGCAGCTCACTTGAGAACGGACCAGGCAGAGCCTCCTTGATGCCTGCCAGGCTGGAGATGCTCTGAGGCGCGCCGCTGGCCACGGAGGTAGGCAGAGTTGTTAGGAGAGGTTTGCTGTCCACAATCAGGTTGGACTCATCCAGTGGCACAGACATCCCATACGGGATTCCAGTGCTGGTAGGAACATTGTCCAGGTGCTCAGGAACTGGGTAAGGATTCATCTTTATGTGGGGGTACTTGTCTTTGTGACGCTGAAAATGCACTTTGAGGTTTCCTTTGGTCGTGAAGCGGTTCCCACAGATGTTGCATTTATAGGGTCTTTCCCCGGTGTGGGAGCGGAGGTGGATCTGCAGGGCACTGTCGTTGCCAAAGACCTTCCCACAGAATTTACACTTGTGTTTGAAGAACGGCTCCTCTGCGTTCGGTTTGCTTTCAGACACGCTGATGTTGGGGGGCTTCCCCTTGCCCTTCTTTGCGGAATCCATCACAGACGAGACCGCCGAAAGCGGGTTCTGGAAGATGACCGAGCCGGAGGACTGAGGTAGCAAAGGATTTGGGAACTGAGAGATGGAGCCGGGGAGGCCTCGGCTCCCCTCTGGCTTCAGGGGGAAGGAGGAGGAGAGCCCAGCAGCCAGCGAGCTGGCGGCCGCAATGCCAGTGTTCGAGTGAGGTAGTTTTCCTTGCTTCAAGGACTCCAGCGACAGGCTCTGGCTCCCCGCCTTCTGCCCGATTAAAGCCACGGCAGCCGAGAGCTGCTGGGACATGTGGGCACCCAGAGCCTTGAGCGGGTCAGTAGCAGCTGCTATGGAGGGGTGCAGGGCGTGGGGAGCCATCATGGCAATCTGGATGCGGATCTGCTCCGTCAGCTGGATCTGCTGGAGCTGCTGCTGCTGCAAGCACACCAGCTGCTCCAGGATCATGGGGATGGCGTTGAAGCCCGCCGCCGAGGAGGAGATGGCGTCGGACGCCCGCTGGTTCACGGCCACCTTGGTGCCGCGGATGGTCTGCAGAGTCACGTTAGTGTTTGGTACTTTGGCTTTGGGTAGATAGCTTAGGCTGGCAGCCGCAGGCGTGAGGGGGGGCTCTATTTTAAGGTACATTCCTCCTACCGGTTCAGCGTCCATTTTTCCTTCTCTCTTTTCCACAGAGCCAGTGCAGCCCTTGGCCTGAACGTCCTTGCGTGTCCTGCCATCCACTCGGTCGCCTGGGAAGGTCCCCAGAGGAGCCTCGGAGAAGCTCTCGGGGGGGACTGTTCCCTCACTGTCGTTCATGATTAGAACAGGCGGATTTTTAGTGCAATTTTTCTTATGCTCAAGGAATTCGGAGAGAACAAAGAATTCTGCACAGCATTTCTCACAGATTTTGGTTTCCTCCGTGCGGCACCTTTTGGAACTCATTTCACCATCTCTATCACCTGGGACGTCTTGTGGACTCCCTTAAAATAAAAGAAAGTCACATTATTAATTGGTAGATTTAGACCAAGCATTCCCTAGTAAGATCACTGACTGCACCTGAATTGCAAGTTAAAGTACATGACACTGGAATCAAGTTTGCAGATCAGTCTGAAGTTCTGCTCTTTGTTTTGAGGCCAATTCCTTCACAATTCAAAATTAATCTGCATCTCAGTTCAGTTTACGAGAAAAAACATATTTTAAAAGGACTCTCACAAGGTTCAATGAAAAGGGATTTCGAAAAAAATCTCTTTTCATACAGGTAAAAATCCCCTGGAACAGTTCTGCAAGGCAGCACCTGCAACACAGCTTAAAAGGAACACCAGGACAGAGGAGGCATTGAAACACTGAGCAAAACACCACACACGAGTTATCTGTTACCACATGTTTACACTTCAGGTCCTAATTCTTTGTTACCCACCTCTCAAAAATTCATACAAGATCGTTGACACAGGAATTTTGAGCAATTCTTACTGTACCGATCTAAACGACTTTTGCTCTATCATTATGAAAATAATTACAACCCAAAAGGGCTGACAACAGCAAAGCAATGCCAATAATTAGCTCTAAAATCCTTTGAAAACCAACACACCCCAAGCAGTAATCTCTACATGGACACAGTAGCACAGACGTGATTAAATTTCGGAACTTGACACTTGAGTATGCCCGTCCATTGATACTTATGAGAATTAAAATATAATACAAGTAACAAGTCCTGCTTGCAAAACTACACCAAGGCATTTCCGACCTCGTACGAGGCCTCCTTCAAGTGCACCCACAACTCACCCACTTCTGGGAAGGGGCAGGGAAAGCCAAGCTGGGCTCCAAGTCCACTCCTGCCCTTCCACCACCAGCACACCACAGCTCAGAATGAGCAGAATTTGCACGTGGGGAAAAAAGAAAAAAAAAAAAATCGGGGAAATATCTGAACTGCAAGAGGTTAAGAGAAATGATAACCAAAACAGGATGTTTTTGCTCAGCCTTGCCATCCCTCAAACAACAAACTCCCAGCCCGCTGGAGGCAGGGCAGGGCTCAGGGCAGCAGTGCTCAGGAGGGAAAAGCTCCAGAGATGGGCAGGCAGAAAGGGCTGGGGCAGGATTCCAGCCCCGTGGGCTGAGACTCACTGGAGCTGACTGGATCTGCCCTAATTTGAAGGGTGCCAAGGCTGCAGTGGGCACAGGCCAGCGGTGTCACCCCTCTGTCCTGCCCAGACCTCCTGGCTCCAGCCCGGTCCCCCATGCCCCCGGCATGGAAGAGCTGAAGCTCAGCAGCTCCTTGTGGCTTTGGTTTGTGCAAAGTGTGGGCAAACCACACCCGGGTGTGTCCTGAACGTGGAGGGGACCATGTCCAGGTGACAACTGGAGCTCGTTACCCTGCTGGAGGGGGTGGAAAACCACTCTGAGGGAGGATATTGCAAACTCTGCCATTTCTCACCTCAACAAGGGCACTGTGTGTGCTCAACAAAGCCAGCTTCAACTGTTTAATGTTGTGTGGCACGAAGAGCTTGTGAAAGTTTACTTTTAAAAATAAACATTTGATCAATAACAAAAACTCCCAAGTATCAGAGGCCTGCTCTGCTGTGATCTGCAGAGCAATAAATCCAAACCTGCACAAGTCCTTGAACGGGGAGGAAGGGAGTTCTCAGCAGCTATGTTTGGATGCCTCCCATTTAAACAGGGAAAATTAAACACTTCCCCTTCAGCCCAAACAAGTCCTGTAAGTGAAAGAAACAAGAATGGCAGCAGGCATTTCCCATCCCAGGTATCATTAAAGTGATGTCTCTAAAGCTGATTTAACTCTAAAAACACAGAGAAGTCCAGCCTGCAGACAAGTACTACTACACAATTCAGAACTTTGTTGTCAACAGAGTCAACCAGGATCAAGAACAAATTATTTTAAACTCATTTTGCACGAGTCTGAGTAGATATACTTGGAAAAAAGGTATCTAGATTAAAAAAAAAAAAAAAAAAAAAAAAAAAAAAAAAAAAAAAAAAAANAAAAAAAAAAAAAAAAAAAAAAAAAAAAAAAAAAAAAAAAAAAAAAAAAAAAAAAAAAAAAAAAAAAAAAAAAAAAAAGAAAAAAAAAAAAAAGACAAACTTCCAGAACTACTCTACACTGGTTTGAGAGGTTTTGACTTTCCTATTTCATGCAGTACACTAAAACATGAAAACCTCTTTTCCATGTCCTTAAGTGTTTGGGGCTTTCCCAGTCCCATCTCCCAGGCAGAACGACATTGTTTCCACATCACAAAATATTAAAAAATAAACCTCAGCTTTTACTTTTTCCAGTGGCACAAAAACATGTACACCAAACACTGTTGCCCACCCCTCAGGAGATATTCCAGGATAATGTCTAGACAAGTCCTCAAACTTTAACTGCTTCAAAGCATCCGATCATTTATCTCCTTTCCCTTGATAAAACTTCTTATTTTTCTACTTCTGTGCTGATAAGATCACACTGAATTCAATGCCCCTTTCCCAATCTCCAGCACAGCTCACACTCCTCATTTTCATAATTCTGAGGCTCTCTGGTAACTTCTGTGGTTCCGAGCAGCAGTTGCCATCTCAGAGAAAGGGACTCCAGTACACTGAAGGTCCCTGTGCTGGGCAGCAGAGGTTGGCAGCCCTGCCCTGTCACATATTTTCATGTCCCTGAAGCATTAGCTTAACTCTGAATAAATTCAATTCAGAGCTTTGAAACGACTTGCTGCATGGCAAATAGAGAAGTCATGCATTATTTTCCCTTTTGCCTTAAAGAAAGGGTTTTAGATAAATTCACAAGCAGGACGCTGGGTTATTTTACAGTAGCTGGAATAACAAAGGAGCAATTGACTATTTCTGTAAAAAACCCAACAGCTCCTGTGAAACCCATCGTGATTTGTAACCTCCTCTGCCAGCCCAAGTGCTGCCATCAGAGCACCTCGGGCACCCGAGCCCAGCAG